TTAAGGTGCCGCCGCCGCTGCTCAGCGCCTGCCGAGGAGGAACCGAGGCAAAGGCATTTGCATGCTGCAAAGGCAGCACAACCCGTTTGTGCAACAAATCCCCCGGTGACGGAGGAGGCATCATCAAAAACCAACCACCCCGAAGCCAGCAAGGCTTGAGTTTTGTAGAGCTAGGTAAAACGGAGGCGATCAGACAGCCAGATGACTTTCTCTGCTCCAAGTTCAGCTCTCCCTCACCCCAACGGGTATCTCTAGGTCAGCCCGAGATGCTTCTGGTAGCTTGGCCCAGGCACGAATGGTTTTACTGAAGTTTAAGCAGCTGCTCTGCCCTGGGTGAGGTTTTGCTTCCAGGTTGCTGCCTGCAGCCCTGCCAAAACCCTGGAGGGCCGGACACGATGTCCCACCACGGCCAGCTTCCACCCCACGGAGGTTTCACCAGCCACCCGGCCCAACTCCACCATGTTTCTGCCCAGCGCGACCGACTTAACAGCACTACTGCACAAACGAAGGCACCGGCAGGACCGGCTCGTGCCGCAGACAGCCAGGGACCCGTCCTGGAGGTTTTACATTTAAACGGGCAAGAAAGAAGTAAAGCATCCCCGCTGCACAGCACTGGGACAGCAACCTGTGCCCACATCTGCAGCACGGGGATCCCGGCCACAGTCCGTCCACCTTCTGGCATCCCAGCGGACGGCGCAGCCAAAGACACCCCACCACGACAGCTCAGACCATCTCCCACCACGGAACACTTACCAGCGCTCCCCCGCTTCCCAGCATCAGGTTACAGCAAGTTCCTCCCCTCCAGGTCTCAAGTTGCTCAGGTGGAAAATTCAGTGCTGAGCAGCCCCAGCACATTTAATCCCCCCTTTGTCTGTAAATGGACGGGAGAACGGGACACACCTGGACGCAAAACCCAACCACCACCCTGGAAACCAGGGCTGGAAGAGAGGCCAAGTCCCTCCGCCTCGAACCGGAGGGATGCAAGATGACACGAGTTTTGAGCTTGCAGCTTTTCCTTTGCATGCCTTCGTATTAATTGAAAAGTAACAAATGCAAAATAAATTTATACCATTAGAACCATATCATGGAATTATATTACAGACACGTAACTCAGTGAGGATTCAAAACCCACAGCGTAAACGGCCCTTGAAATAAAACCTCTCCTGCCCGTTCTTACAGTGGTTATGCAGCGTGAAGTGACAACTAGAACGTAAAGACCTCGGCGGGAAGAATAATCCTCTAAAACAAAGTGCCACAGCTGCAGGCGACCGCGGGGGAAAGGACAGACTCATTCCCGGGGTGACGACTGACTTTGCTAAGAGCCATATCCACCCCCACCCCCCCTCTAAAACCAACGCAGGCTTTTTTTTCTTAAGTAGCATTAATACCTGCTTTGGGTCTGACTCAGCTAATCCGGGAACAGCAGGTCTTGGAGGCCCTCGCAGAGGACCAGCGGCAAAGGACAGAGGCACCTTTAAGAGCCTGGAAACAGGGAGGACCTGGCACCACGCTTCAAGGAAGATGTGGAGCAATGGGCAAAGGTCCAGAGGAGAAATAAAAACCTAGAGGTCTGGAGCAGGTGACCTACGGGAAACGTAGAAGAGGCCAGAATTGCTCAGCGGAGAGAAGATCGATGGGAGATGGGAAAATAACCCCAAAATTGTTCAGTGGAGAGAAGACTGGCGGGAAAATAACCCAGCCAGACACAGAGGGATGCTGGAGAGAAGGCAACATGGTGCCACCACCTCCTCGGTAGAGCTAAGAAGTGGCTTCGGGCTCCAGTAATGAAGGGGAGACGAAGCCTGGATGTGGGAAACCCTCACCGGGAAAAAGCCTGGACGTAAGCCCCGCAGCAGGCTGCAAAGCCTCCGGCGTGGGCAGTTTGCAGGACACTTCCACAAGAGCCCTTCGGGGATGGGTGTGCCGTACCTGCCTTCGCCGTACCTCTCCGCTCCCTGCACGCCTTGCTCCAGCCCTGTCCTCTACGGCTTGTATTTCAGATCTATGTCCGCCTGCAAAGGCGCCGGCCCAACACTTCGGCTTTTCCTCCCTACAGCTCTTCCAGACAGAGTTTATTCCATTTCTCCTGCTCTTCAACAGCCTCTGGCCACAGATCAGCCTCCGCTCCTCTCCTCCTCCGGGACCGTCCCCCTGGGCCTGGCTGATTTGACTCCATCTGCAGCAGGCAACGAATTACCCATGTTAATACACCAGCCCCAGGTTTGCAGCGCAGAGAAACGCTGCATTAGCAATACAGGGCAGCTGAAGAAATGTCACGTTTTACCCTTGGCTGGGTTGTATCTGCCTTTTTTTTTTTAAGCTTGGAAAGAGAGACACACAGCCGAACACTGGATGAGCTTGCAGGCTGAGGCCAATGCAAGACCAGACGTTGCAGGCAGCCCCCGATAAGGAGATTCAGGCATTGCAGCCTTCCTGAATCCTGACAAACGACTTCTTGCTTTTATATTCAGGTTTTGCAATTTTTCGCAAAGAGAGAAACAGAAGTTTCTCGGGAGGCGCAGCAGAAGCGGGTTCCCAACCTGCGGCTCAACGGTGAGGACACCGGCGGCAGAGACACAGCAGCATAAAGGGAATAAAGTAACTCCCAGATGAGCACATGTGAGATTTTATTGCCGTAAAATCTCAGTGTAAGAAAGTTTGGGGAACAAGCTAAGGGCTGGTCCCAGCGCAGCACAACTCGGATATTTGTTGGTTCCCTGGACCAAGGGAAAATTAATTTGTATAAAGTAGCTTAAAGTAGTGAATTCCAGAATTTGCTGGAATTTACACCAGACCTGCCCAGCCCCCGCCCCGGCCAGCTCCAGGGACTGCTGGTTTCAAATAGGAGGCACTAACATTCAGTGCTTAAAACAATACAGGTCCAGGAAGGTGGTGGGGATATTCGGAGGCCAGGAAAGTTCTTACGGCGCCTCAAGTATCCCTATTGCTGCGCACCGTTTAAACAGCTTGCCCAGCCTCTGGATCAAAATACATTTCAAACATTGCCAAGAGAAACTTCGCAGCGCTGCTTTCATCTATCATTTATGTAAAGCTTCGGTTTCCATTATTCAAGCAGCTGCAGCCAGCGTGAGCAGAGAGATCTCGACGCGCCCTGCTCTTCATCAGCCGGTTGTTTTCCACCGAGCAGCCGACGGGCAGAGACATGAAAGATTCATTTACCCATCGGCAAACGCCGCGACCCCGGCTCGCAGCTGGGTTTTCGCCCCGGAACCGCAGGGAGTGGGACAGGGCGGTTTTAACTTGAAACCAACCCGGACGACTGCTGCTTCACGCCTCCGAAACCTCCTTCAAATCCTTATCCAAAGGAGCCTTCCCCACGTCTGGCGATCAGGCAGGAGACCACACAGCCCCTTCCAGCGATTTACAGCCCAGCGCGAAGCCGAGGGACAGGGGGAATCTCAGGCAAGGCAGGAAAGCCAAGACATACTCCACCGTTACAAAAACGGTCACGAGATCTCAAATGTCTGGACGGAGCCACGGGGAAGTCGGCTTTCAAGGTCTCATCCACACGAGGCACGGGGATGACCCAGAAAAGGAGCTGCGGGGAGTCTGGCTGATCTGAACGGCTGCCGAAGCCTCGCCGGGACCGGACCTTTGGTACCGAGTTTTACCAGCCGTTTCCCAGCCTGCCGAGCCGTCCCTGCTGGAGAGGTGATCCACCTCCCCGGGGAGTATTTCAACTTCCTGAGTCAGGGCAGGGGAAGAGGCATTGCTTTTCTCCGATTTGGTTAGCACCGCTCATAAAATCTGCATTTAGCACCAGCTCACCTCCTCCATCCTCCTCTCCCACTCAGCATCCCCATCTCAGCCCTGTATTTCTCACCATCTCAGGCTGATGCTCATGCTAAAAACCATCAGCCCTTCGAAACAAAGCAGCAAAATAAAAAATTCCCATTTCCAGCTCTTTTCCCCCCAGCCTTGCATCCCCACTACCAAGGATACTGCTCATGCTTTTGCTCCAGAAGTCTCTGTGTCAGCAGATGTGTGAAATGAATAATCTGCATTTTCTTTGGGAGAAATCCCGCTCCAGCAAAAACACTCACTCTCCAGCAAGCGCAGTCTCACAGTGTGCACCGACACAGCAGCTCAGCACCAAAACAACATCGTGCCGATAACTTTTTGACACTTAAAAATAAACACCGCAGAGCCCACGGGAGCTATTTGGGTTTGGAAGACACGTAACGCGCATATGCCCGACTTCACCTATTTAATTGCGTTTGCTTTGGCATTAAAGCGCATTAGTGCCCAACCCTGGAAACGGGAAGCGTCCCCTCCGCACAGCCCAGCCCCTCCAGCAGGGAAAGCCTGGCTTTCCACTGGCTTGGACCTGTGAAATCCAAAAGGAGAAACCCAAAGGAGAGTTCGGCACAGGGCAGCAGCCGCAGACAAACCGCACAGCTGCAGCTCTCGGCCCTGCAGCCAGAAGGGCGTGCGCACCAGAGGCTTGTTTTGGCCAGGGCACCGGGACGCCGGAGCTGATGGGTTTATCTGCTCTCCTGCTCCCAGCTCTCCGTTGCCCAGGGCCTTTTCTGCCTGCGAATAAACCTCATCGTTGCTAAATCTGAACAAGTCGGGACAAAGAGGAAATCGGATTTCCAACAGCGATCAGATGGCTGCAGATTGCAAAACAGAGAGACCGGCCGAGCTGCCCAAATTGTGTGGGAATTCAGCAGCGTAGGGAGCGACTCGGTCCTCCTGACCCAGCTTTCTGCCTTATCTTAAAGCCATCTAATGTCCTCCCTTCCCCTCACACCAAGAAAACTCCCCCCCTGCAGCCCCAGCATCCTCAAGTGTGACCCACCGGCGAGTGTCAGTTTGCTTACAGACACAGGAATCAAAACTTCAATCATTTGCAGGAACTAGGATAAAAAAACCCCTGCGACAAAGGAGGAGCTATGAGATGAGAACCGACCGCACGAGCACAGCCCGAGAGGCGCCCCTTCCCAGGCAGGCTGAGCCTTGGAGGGCCCCGGCATTACCTCTTCCTCGCTCTCGACTTTGGGATTGCTGGCTGTGCGCTTCAGATTGCTGCTCAGGCTGATGGTAACGGTGGCGTCCGACTTGGACCGCTGGTGAGTCCTTTTGGAAGGAGACAGCCCCATATCGGGCGCTGGGCTCAGCGACGGCAGCTCCCTCTTCTTGTAAGCTGGCTTCAACTCGTCCGAGAGGATGAGTTTCCGCAGCTTGGTCCCGCGGGAGTGTCGCTGAGTGGAGATGTGCATGTCCGAGGAGTAGGCACCCAGCAGCAGGGCACACTGCAGGGAGAAGTTGATGCTCTGCCGGCAGCGGTGCACGATGTAGGGCTTGATCGCATCTCCCACGTCCTCATCCATATGAATGTACATGTTCAGCAGCTGTGGTAGGTAGAAGTCCACTTCTTCGTTCCTAAAGCAGAACAACCTATTCCCAATGTAAGCCTGCACACCAGGTTCCTTTGAATTGTACAAGTATGAAATGGCCATGGAGATATCAAAGAGTTTGGATTCAAAGAGCCGGAGGAGCCAGGACTGCTTAGCAGAGTTATTCTTCTGCCGCTTCCGCGCTGTTTTCACCGTGTTGGCCGTGGTCTCGTCCTCCTCCTGGATCTTAGAGGCCGTGCCGGGCGGATCGTCCAAGCACTTGATTTCACAGCCCTCCCCGATGTCTCCATTGACCAAATCCACCGCGGTCCGTGGGGCGCGCTCTGCCTCGCTGCCATCGGCTGGTTTTGTTAAGCTGTCGGAGGAGACGCTGTGCATCAACTTGACCTTCTCCAGCACCTCTTCGCAGGCTTTCTTTGCCACCTCGGGGTCGATGACCGCCAGCTCCCCGACACCTTCCGTGATGACGCTGAGAGACGTCCCGCCATTCCCTTGGGGCGCTGAGCCGGGTGCCTGGTCCAAGCCTGTCCCTCGGGCTGGGTCTACAACAGAGTCTCCCATAGCAGTGGCGGGTCTGCACGCTTCAAAGCTGAAAGGGAAACAAGACAAAAGAAGAGTCAGGGACACAATCTGTGGAGGAGACCTGCTTCTGGCCTGAAGGTGGGAAAACAGGAATCCACACCGGGATACGCCTCAAGGGAAACCGAGAGCCGAGATGAGGGTTGGTGCAAACCTTTTCTAAAAGCCTTTGTCTAGAGAGGGAAGGCGCCCCAAGCCAACGCAGGCAACGTTAGGCTGGGCCAGCGCAACGCCAAGCTGGTCACGTTGGGTTTTAAAGGTCTTCTTGGTGCCCCTTCCACTCAGACTTGAAAGAGAGCTGTAAGCATCTATCAGCCACTACACAAAATTCCCCTGTTACCATGACGATAAAAAAATTGAGCAAGCCAAAATGAGAAGGGGCGGGGGGGAAATAACCGGGTTGCTTTATGCTCTCCACCCCAAGGGCATTCTGCAACGCTTGGGAGTAGGGGGCCACAGGCTGGGCGGACCCAGGGCTCTCCTTCTTGCTAGAGAAGGTGAAGTTTATCCCCCGTGCTCAGCTTTTGCTCATTTAACGCCCCTCCAGGACGGAGGGCGACGGCGATACGCGGCGCTTTGATGGTGAAATCCCCCGCCGGTGCTGGCAACGGGTGAGCAGAGAGCCGGTGCAAGAACCATGTTTGTTGCGACAAGGTCCCTGTTTTCAAAGTCCAGACACCAATGCCCAGATTATGTATCCTCACCAATGATTAGCACTTAATTACGTTTTAAAAATAAGATAAATGAGGGACTGAACACACTTTCTGGTTTCCCATCTCGATAAAAAGAGCAGCGGTGCATCTCTACGGATAACCGGCAAGAATAAAGGCGCCAGTGCCAAGTGAAATCGTCCTCTAAAAATAAAATAAGGCACTCTATTCAATCTAACATCATTACTGCGGCTCTGACTGCTTCCCTTTATTGCTTATACGCTACAACAAGACAGCTCGTGATCAGCAGAAGGGCACAATGCCTTTTACAAATGTTAAGCGCTGCAAGCAGATTGCCAGTTCCCTCCTGCTTTTCACATCCAGCACGGTGGAAAAAATTACTGTCTTTGGAAAAGAAGTTCACTGAACCATTTTCTGCCTGTCTGTTCCCCCAACGACCCCCAGCCCCTGTTTTGACCACAGAAGCTGCGCTGGCGGGTTCTTGTAACGAGGTATTTCCCCGCTAATTTAATGACCTTGTTTTATCTGTTTATTTTTATAACTGTTTACAGCTCCTGACACCGGAGAAAGGGGTGAGGAAACCCACGGCATTTCTTTCTAAATATTCCAAGCGAGTAAAAACGGGGTCGGTGTGTCCAGATGCAAGTGTCACTTCCCAGAGACCAGTTTCCTCCTCTTGTTTCCAAAGCACTTAAGCTCTAACTCCGAGGTGAAAAAAGCCTGACCAAAGTTCAGCACTCTGAACCGATATGAATAGCATCTTTCACCCCGTCCGCAAGGCAGCAACCCACAACGTTTTCCTCTGTGCTTGCCATTCCCTTCGGTACAAATCCCGCATGCTTCAAATATTTGTGGTCATTAGATCCTAAAGACCCTGCAAGCTGAAGGAAGTTGTTTTTCCTTCTTAGTGAGCCCAGCCTTGCCCCACAAAAGCCCAGACGATCTCATTTTTAAATTAACACCACACCGGCAAAAAAGAGATCCTTTGGCATAACTCGGCAAGGCGGGATTTGAAGAGGCACAGAGCGGAGCCAGGTCCAAGGAAGAGTTGCCCAGAGCTTTGCTCGCGCCAGCACTTCTGGGCTCCTTCAAACATTTGCATCAAGACAACTGGGATGACAAACTGATAAAAAATAAAAAAAATTAGCAGTGGCATCTGCCAGAGTCCCGACACAGCTCTGCGGCCACATGGCGGGTGCAGATGTACCTGCAATCCCGGGTGGCTCGGTCACCTGCAGAGGGCTTTCCCAGCCCGGACTGGTTTATCCGATGCAGGGAAATGCTTTTGACATCCTCCTTGCCAGGCTGTAGAGGGAGAAAAAGCGTGTAGGATCCCGTTAAACCCCCCTCCCTATAAACACGGGGCACACAGGAGAAGCCCGGTGCAGCATGACAGCACACACTGAAATTCTGGACCTTAAACCGCCTGCATGTCCGCGGGATGAGGCTGGATCCCACCTGACCTACTCACGCAAGGTATCCCGATGATGCCGAGGCGCCCGCGTCGCACAGCGCAGTCACTGCGAACAGAGCCGCTCCTGCGGCCAGTCCAAACTCCCCGATCCCTTCACCGCCTTCACCCGGCCAGCCAGGCCCGGAGCGGCCCCGCGCCGGAGAGGAGACGGCCGGCCAGAGCTCACGACTGCTGAGTGGGTTAAACTTGGATTAAGGAACTGCGCAAGATAAATCCACCCACGGGCCCACAGGGTTACCTCTGCACCGCAGGCACGGCTTTGAAATCCGTGCATTGCTTTTTTATTATTATTATTATTATTTTGCTCTTCAGCCCCCCCGACACTTACACAGCCGCCTTCTTTGGTGACATCCCAGCAATGGGGCTGTTTCGAGCCCGCCAAGGCCACGTCTCCGCTCCTAGCACTCCCTAAAATCCCGGCAAGGGAATTCACTCCCCGCCTCCTGCACCTCTCCACATTTTTCTGTGATTCACATCACCATTCGTTAAACGTATCGCAACGCACTATTTACCTCTCGAGGCTCAGCATAGCTCCCCTATTCCAAATCGCTGGTCTCAACAGGGATAAAAACCCCATCAGCTGCACACAATGAAGCAATCCAGTCTGGAAAACAGGCTGAGCTGAATTCATGTGGTTCATCCTCCACCCACAGCCGTAACGGGCCAAGTTTCTCTCTGGAGGAACGGCCCTGAAGTCAGTGATTAAATACAAAATAAAGGGAAGCCCCTATTAGCACAGAAACTACCCACGAAGCAGGCGCGTGTCGGTGCAGCGATTCGAGAGCACAGGTCCTTCAGGAAGGGACAAAAGCAGAAGGAGATCTACAGGAACAGAGCTGTGGCTTTACAGGAAAAAAAACCCAAAACAAACCAAAGTCTCACTCTTGCCTGACTTGAATAAGAAATATTAGCCCTGGCAAACAACCAGGGGGACAGGACGAAGCCTCACCAAGACATCTGGTCTCTATTACGCTGCATTACTTTTTGTTTTGCTCAGCACTGATGGCCTTCGACATCTTGCTGTGCCTTCGGGAGGGCCACAGGAGTCAGGACGGGGGCAGAAAACATCACGGCAGCGCTGGAGGAGGACGCGCTGTCAGTGCCCCTCGCTACGCTAAGGGGAGAGCCCCTGCTCCTCGGAGAGCCCCTCCAGGCCCGCTACACGCAGAGCGACTCCGTGCAACTTATTAGGAGATAGCTTAGAGGCTGGGGAAACTGAGGCACGAAGGGTCTGTGACTGACACAGCTCGCGTGGGGCAGATGGGCAGCGTGCTGCGAGCACCACTGAAGCGAGGACAAATAATTCTTCCTGGGGGATGCTGCGCCCTCTTGCAAGTCCGAAATCCCCTTCCAGAGAGACTCGGCACCGACAGAGAGGGGCTCCCGCCCATTTTCACACTCGGCTGAAGCAGATTCAACTTCTGCGCAGCACATGGGTCTCAGTCCGCCTCAAAAAAATATAAAATGTCAGGTTTCAGGCATCCCCCAAGGACAAACTCTGCCCATAAACCTACGCTGCTGCACGAGGGCACTGCCGTGGGACTTTTCTCCCACAGAGCAGCACCGCTTCCCTCTCAAAGGACGCACACCACGGAGCAAAGAGCAGAGGGAAAGCAAAAAAGATGAATTTTCAGGGAAAAGGACAACGGGAAGCCCGGAGCCAGAGACTGAGCGGTCGCTGGCACCGCAGCCAGGCAGGGTGGGCTCCTCCATCCAACGCAACCGCCCCGTGTCAGGGAGGGAGCAGCCTTTGAGAGCCTTTCCTTGGGACACAGAGCAAGCGCAGGACAAGCGCAGCTCCTCTCAGCTGAATCGGGGCCTCCAGCACATCAAAGCCCCGACACAGCGGGCCAGCAGTTTTCTCAACAGAACAGCAGGCTATGAGCAACGCTCTGCTAGAAGAAACAGCATCAGCTAAAGCAACTGCTGGAGGCGGCCCGAGCTCGCTCGCAGCTTAGCTCCGCACCACGCGGCTCCTAAACCCGTCCCGGTCCCCAGCCCAGCGGCGGGGCTCACCGGCTGGGTGACAGCACGGCACCGCTTGGCTCCTCTGGGGGGATGGATGGGACGCAGGAGGCTCTGCTTGGAGGCTTGGCCTCGCCAGGATGCTCTCACTGGAAGGACTCCGCATCCTGGTGCCAAGTTGTGTTCAGCCAAGCCTGTGTGTCCAAAACACCCTGGGGCTCGCACAAGCAGAGCAATGACTCGCCCCTGAATTTGGAATAAAATAAAAGCCACGCTGCAGGAAACGCAGCAGGAGGAGGACAAACTACACAACACATTAAAGAACAGCTCCCAACGCTCCTCAGCCTCTTGGCTCCATCAGGGAGAGACGCCTCTAACTCCCTACTCCGAATGCTCATCCACAGCAAACTATTTATAATTTGTCTTTGTGGCATCTTTCCTAGGAAGCCGTTCCGCCTCCCCTGCTGTGGAGCGATGGCTCCTGGGCTGCAGAGGGGACCGAGGCACCGGGGAGAGGGACAGCCGCAGCCCGCCAGCCCCAGAACCGCACCGCCAGCGCTTCCTTCGCTCCTTCCTCCTCCACAAATGACACAGCCCCACGGGAAGGAGGTCAATCCAGAGATTTGCTTATAAATTAACTTCCCCACATTAAAAAAAAAAAAAAAAATTTGCAGGAGTGCTAAAATCTCTCTCACCTCTGAGAAGCGCCCCAGCCCTTTGGAAAAGGCGGCTTTTGTTGCAACAGGCGTCGCTTCGGGGAGGAAGCCCTTTGCAAACCCACTCCACGCATACCACAGCGGCGGCTCATCCGACATATTACTCACACAAACACATCCAACCTTTTGTCCTCTTCCCTCGCACCTCTCCGCCCCTGATGAGCATTAATTACCATCCCCGAGCAAGCGAGGACAAACCCTTCCATCCCAGCAACCTGTTTCCAAGCACACCAAACCCTTAAGCAAGCCGTGCTGGCACAGCCACCCTGGGAAGTTTCCTCCTCCCAGTGATCACAAGGTACTTTGCGCCCGAACGTTCCCACACTCGTTTATATATGTAAATTCACGATTTCAAGTCGCTGTTGTTACCCACAGTCATGTCTGAGCCTTTATCTAAAGCGTGACTTGAAATAAGCCGTCTAGATGAGACTTAAAATGGAAGGAAAAGGCAGGAGCCCGCATCCCCGGCTCGGACTCCAAGAGCAGCTCTTCTGCTGCCGACCCAAGCACGGAGCCCAAACTCCGTGATGACAAATCAGCTGTGATTTAAGGAGCGCACGACCGTGGCACAGACTGAAGTCCCACTCAGATTGCCAAGCAAGAAGTCAGAGGCTATTATCTCTGCTGAGCAGAGACTGCAGGGTGAGCCCCAGGCCTGGGGCTGACTCTGCCGGAGCAGACCCCGCGGCATTCACACGAGTCAAGGGCAGCCTCCGACACGGCCGCCGGTTCGCACAGAGCGCAATGAAGTCCCCAAGGGGAGTTCAAAACCTCAGAGGCGCTGAAAAGCCTCTGCTCTTCCAGCCAGCGCTGGGCGAAAGGGCTGGAAACCAGCGTTGCCACCCAGAGCCGTACCCAGCTACTTCCCCACCCTGCTTCTCAAAGTTTCACCACAGGTTAAAGAGAAGTAGGGGATAGTGAAGGCAGCGATTAAATATTATTATTAATTACCATGCCTAAAGTTACTATCAACTTGAAGTGGAAGTTTCAGGGGGGAAAAAAGCATCGGCAGATTGCTAACCACGGCGAAGACGCGTATCTTGAAGAACCGCTGCTCAGCAGCCCACCGACCGCGCGCGTTACATAACATCTCCGGTCTCTAAGTAGATATTTTAGGCAATTACAAAGCGCGAGGGGCACCAGATGGCTCCGGGGGGGCTGGCAAAGCCCAGTCAGAAACGACAGTCTCACGGCATGGAGAAAATCAGCTGAAAAAGTCTCTTAACGGGGCTCTGCGACGCTCATCCAGCCGGGCTGCGCCAGGAGCCCAGCTGCTTCCCTGAGGGGGGACGCGCTTTCAGGCCAGCACCGAAGCCGGAGAGGCTGGCGGCCTCCCCGCCGGCGCAGCGGGGTTTAGGGAAGGCGGCCGGCAGAGCTGGCGTCCCCTGGAAGGAGAAGGAGAAGCAGCGGTACCTGGTGCAATCCCGTCCCGCACGGCCGCGTCTCCGGTCTGGGATGCCGAGGCACGGGGCAGCGCAGGCGGCTCATCCTGGGCAGCGGCTCCGCGGGGCTCCGGGGGCGATCGGCTGCTGCTGGGGGAGGGAGGGGGAAAAAAAAAAAAAGGGGAGAAGATGACTTTCCTGCGCG